AAATGTAACTTCCTTCTTTAAGCTTTGCGAGGAAGAAGCTGACATGGCAAATAAGGAAGCTTTAGAGGGTTTTTTGAGGCAGTCAGGACATCTTAAAGATAAAGCATATGCATCACTCTTAGGCATGCCTGTTACTGGTGATGAGCTATCAACAAAGGAAGACAGAACTGGCGACCAGATTGACAACGAGGAAAATGACGATGATGATGGTGCTGAGATGCTAGTCAGCCATTTGCAGGGTAGTCTGTAACAACTCCATTGCGTGCTTCTATATGGAGGAAGTTGTTTGTTTTAGACCTTGTGTTGCTGAGCAGATTTTACCAGAACTTTCGCTCACAACCTGCATTACTTCGCCGCAGCATCACCTGCCAAGTTTATGAGTCCTGCCAGCCGTGACCAGGAATTTGAAACTTGAAAGTTCTGGTGTGGCATAATATTTATTTATACAATGTTTGTCCTCAAATATATGCTCAGCTTAGGAATGAATGCTCTTGACTTCTTGTAATTAACGGCTGTAAGCCATCTCCAATTCAGCAATTATAAGTTTTTGTTACCCTTTGTGGAGTTCAGGCACTAAAGGCGTCCTCCATAATCCAGAATTAAATTTCATTTCCGTCCCTATGCTTTTGACTTGAACATAATTTAATCCCTAAATTACGTACTAGTTATTGGATATCAGTATTGGTTACGAGAGTGTACTTGAGAGAAAGATAACAGTTGTTTTTTAATGTTTTTTTGGCTTGGAAACATAAAAAATAATAATATATATTTTTATTTTTAAAAAATTATTTTTGATATGAATATATGAAAATATCTAAAAATATAAAAAATTAATTTTAAAAAATGTCTTTAACCACGTTTCTAAACGCCATTTAAATACATGACCAATGGAGTTTGCAAGCAACATGAAACGTTTTTTATTTTTCCTTCTTTTTGGTGTTTTAGCGGTCAGCTGAATATCAAGCTCAGAAGCACAGGAGCTCGGAGCCTCAAAGCCAAGTCCATTAGTTCTAATCCCACTACTGGGGTATCAGTCTATCAGGCCCACTCCAACACTTCAATACATTGTAGCCCAGCATACTACACACGCCCAAAACAGAGGATCCCGTAGACGCCGACCCTGATTTCGTGGTTTGGTTTAGTGGAAATGATGGTGATTTCACGCCTGGTAGTTGTTTTTTAATTTTTTTTGAAAAACAAATATTAAAAAAATATTTTTTTAATTTTTTAAAATTATTTTTTTATTAAGACATTAAAAAGATACGAAAACACAAAAAAAAAAAAATTAAAATACAAAAATAAACATGGATATTTGCCTGTTTTTCTTCTCTCCATCAATTAAACTTTAGCAAACAGTAACAAAATAAAAATGTGTAATTAATATTGTAGTCATAAATAAACCTTTGAAGCCTCTTTTATTTCCCCTATGTTGAAAACACATCTTTAACCGCTTAAAATGGTGAAAAACATTAGGCTATAAACAAAAAAAAAAAAAAAAACAAGAACAGGTATATTTAATTTTCTGTTAGGATTAAATTCATTAAATGATGTGATAAGCACATGATTGATGATTTATTAATTAATATATTTTATAATTCTATTACATTACTAAATGATGGTATGGAAAGACTCATGTTCTATGATTCAAAACCTTTTCATAAGACAAATGCCACATCATTTAATAAAAGAAAAATTGTAAGAAAATTAATTACCCCTTACATCATCCAAACAAGAACGAGTGTGGTTAAAAACTAGCTTGTTCAAATTGGTCAAATAATTAAAACTTAAAACTCTTTGAAAATGAAAAACTCCTTCAGGAAAATCATGTTTTCTTTGCTTCAAAACCTGACAGTGTAACCCCACTTATTTATGCTGCCAAAATTTAACAGCAAATTGTCAGGCTTTCATTTTCATCGATGCATGCACCATTGTCATTTCATGGCCCTACTCCCGTTCGTTGGAGGGCAAAATAAGAACTCAAGCTCCACGATCTAGCTAGCATGTAAACATGTTTTCTTGTCAAATTCTAGATATTCAACATCCATTTAAATTGGATTTTTAATCGAGTTTAATATTATTTATACGATATTTATTATCTATAAGATAATTATATAAAAAAACACTCATCCATCTAAATAAGCCTAAGGGGTAAAATGATCATGGAAGCTTGTGATATCATGTTAACGACACTAGAGGCTTTTGGATCTTAATTAGCTACTTGACAAAATAAGACGTCGGTGGCAAGTACCAGTGCTTGAAATTAAAAACAAGATGCACCACACCGTTTCGAACATGCTCCACGAGTCAACAATTGTTCTTCAAGTCGTTCTCTATGGTTCACTGCGTCCTTGGAAATTTTTTACAATAATCATGGAGTGATTAACGCTATTTTATTAGTTTCTTTTTAAATCTATTTTCTAAAAAATATCAGCTCAAAAATATTAGGTTACTCATCAAACCATGATCTTGCAGATTGGTTCCATCCTTGCTTATCTGGCCGCCACATTACCAGCTATAAACTGACTTATCAAACCACTTTTGAAACGAGGATGTGGCCAGCATTTCGTTGGTTTATATTCAGAATCATGGGGTTAAGCTTATTCCTTGATGCATGAGAGCTTATCATTAGTACTTAATTGACATTAGTACCGTGAAAGATCATATTCAACAATCTGGTATATATAGAAGACTGGAGACCCACAGCAATGCAATGGATAGGGGATATTGGTCTTATTAATGTCGTTCTCCTTTTTCTTTTTCTTTTTCTTTTGAATTTCTTAGTGTAAGGCATTTCTTCATTACAATTTTTGTGGTGGCGAATTATGGTGGCAGCAGCACAGTAGGCTGGCTCACATGGAATAGCACATGGGCGAGGAAGACGCAAAACAGATCCCTTTTTAGAGATGTTGATGTATACAATTCGAGAGAGTTGTCTTACGAAGACATATGCTTTGCTCTTGTTTCACTCCAAGCAAAACATGCTTCCAGCTTGGCATTTGGCATTTGCTTACTTTCCAAATTAATCCCTTGATGACAATTCAAACATTTGATCTAGTGTTGGATTTCATGTTCTAGCTAGCTAGCACGTCGTTTGATGCGGAGGATATTCCCACCGAACTCAATTTCAGATGTGTCTATATATATCGTACTACATTTTTAATTTTGTGATCTCAAAATGAGTTTGGTAAGGTATGGATATGAAAATTACTGCTAATAAATTAATCAATTTTGGACGAAATGCATGAGACAAAAATCTTTTAAACTCCATTCTTAAGAACTAAGCCATATAAAAATTGTGTTTTTACGTGGAATCTTTCTCATGAAAAGAAAATCCAGTTACAATCCAAGCAAGTTAAAGTGAATTAATTTTCCATTTTTTTGCCATAAAAAAATTTCGAACATCTGGAAAACTTTTGAGGAAGGAGAACGTAAGTGTTAATTAAGACACAAGCTAATTTTGTAAGCTAACTTTATCTTAAAAACCTTTTATTTTATAGGATAGTCGGTTGGAAAATGCTCTGGAAAAGACAAAGAAGAGGGTGTATCTGTACTGCAGCCTGTCCTAAACAGCCCTTTTGTTTCCAAAACCATGCAACAGAGTAATTTTCAGCTAACATAGTAAAACCTATAGCTCTAGCTCTAGCCTCCGTTTATTTATTTTCGAGCGGTATGCATGTGTTTTGTATTTAAAAATATGTAGCATTGAATTTTTTCAAACCGAAATCATAAAAACTATTGTAATATCAAGCAAATTATCAGTGATTTGGCCTTAATTTTGAGAAAAAACAAGTAAATATTGCCAAGTGTTAGTGCTGGATATAATGCGAGGTTACTAACTGGTTAAAGTTAAAAAAGATTAATCTTATAGTATTTAATTTATGCTCTGTCCAGCTTCATAGAAATCAATTTGACAGCTCTATTTTAGCGTTTCCATTGATGTGGGTCAATTAAGCTGATGAATAGCCGAATTAACTGTAGATTTTTTTGTAAAGTTGTACATGCATGTATTTGATCTATCATCTATCATTACAACCACAGCCATCAAATCTCTACAAGTCAATGAATCCAAGCCAAACCCAACCACAAACCTGCGGCCGGTATCCAAAGATTTCGTTTTCTGTCAAGCTTGTGGACAAGTTGAAGCCACTAGCTAGCTAGCTAGGTATCCCTTAATTTTGCTAGTAGCGGAACTATAAGCCTTGAGATTCTAAGAGCTGGCTGGCCTAGCGATTGATACCCTTTTCGTACAAAACATGAGATGTTCAAGCCAGGAAAAGCCAAAGGATTCCATTAATTCCCACAAATATCCTGACCAAGATTTCTGATCTCTAAATCTGCGTTATATGTTTTTAATTGAGAAAACAAAAGCTAGCAATATAAGCAGCATCTGCTAATGCCATGAACTAATACAACAAATCCATGTCATGTCACCTTATTGTGTAGATTGCAGAATCAAAACACATGCAAGATCTCTCAAAACGCGGGACCCTTAAATTTTTATGATCGCACAATATTTTCCACATGTAATCACATGATGGGATGGCTTGCCCATCACTATTCTCACACTAAAGATCACCAAAATAAAACCCCAAGTCCTCTTTCAACAAATAAAGAAAAAAAACAAAGAAAGAGATATACTAAACAACTTACAAAAATGAATAGAAATAGTTAAGACTATATCTCATAAAACCTCGAGCCAACTTGGTGATTCAAAACATGGTTTGAATTTGTTGTATAAATCTTAAATCTTAAAAAAATAATCACGATATTTCAAAATATCTATAAGTATCATATAATTTGTTAAATATTTATAAAATTAAAATGAAAAAGAAAAAAATAATCCAATATCGAACACCTTCAGCTTGTTCCCTCTCTATCAAATTAAGTTTGAAATTAAAATAACCATCATTAACCCAACTCAAATCCAAGAACTTTAAAAAGGATACAAAAGGCCAAAGTCCACTAATGAATAAGGACATAGAAGTCATAGTTTAAAAAACATAAGGGTGTTTTCTTCCAAACCCATTAACCACCACGTTTGCTTTTATTATATGTGGACGCGTAGTATTTAGTGAAACCCGAAACAAGCAAGCTGCGAAAAAAATTCCAAGCATTTATCACCAAAATTAGCCTATCAATGGCAGAGCTAGAGAGTCCAAAGATGATGCCAAAATCAATCACATTTCTCTCTTCTTTGCTTCAAAGGGTTGCTGATTCTAATGATCTTCACCGCGAGTTTCAGCCACAGAAAATCTCGGTCTTCCATGGACTAACTAGGCCAACTATCTCTATTCAAAGTTACTTGGAGAGAATTTTCAAGTACGCAAATTGTAGCCCTTCTTGCTTTGTTGTTGCGTATGTGTATCTTGATAGGTTTGCTCAAAGACAACCTTCTTTGCCTATCAATTCTCTCAATGTTCATCGGTTGCTTATAACAAGTGTCTTGGTTTCTGCGAAGTTCATGGATGACATGTAAGTTCTTGATTCTTCTTTAGTGATGGAAATTTGAATTTCTTGGATTTGGTTTCTGGGAATTTGTTGGTTCTTGCTCTGGTTTTAAACAAAGTTAGAATCTTGAAATTCTGGGAATCGACACACACACACCCCTTGGATTCGCAATTCTCTAGTGGTCAAGGAAAATTGAAGTTCTTTGATTTCCTTGTCGAGGATTTATTTTCTTTAAATTGCTTCTCTTGATTTGAATTTTCTCAATTATCTGCAACTTCATGGTCATTTAATTTCTCTGTCTTATGATCCTATGATCTGAGTTTGGAACTCAAAGATAGGAGAAGTTTGGTTCTTTGAAGTTTTTTTGATTTAGGAAGTTCTTGGTTTATTTCTGCAAAGTAGCACTTGTTTTTTTTTTCCAGCCATGTGACTCCCTATTCTGAACTTTCAGCTAGCCCAGCTAGCCACTTTAAAGTTTTAATGCATGTGATGTTGATGCATCACAATGGTAATTTAAGACCTGTATCTGTGAAAAATGCCGCTCAAGATTTCCTGTTATGGCAATTACCTTCAAATAGTAAAACTCATCTTTGATTCCTGATTCCTGTCTTGTGATTTTCAGGTATTACAACAATGCTTACTATGCAAGAGTTGGAGGGATAAGCACGATTGAGATGAACTATCTAGAAGTGGATTTTCTATTTGGATTAGGCTTCAATTTAAATGTGACTCCAAACACCTTCCACACTTATTGCTCCTACCTTCAGAGAGAGATGATGCAACAACCTTCTCTGAATTTAGCTGAATCTTCATTGAACTTGGGGAGATCACTAAAAGTCCACTTGTGCTTCAATGAAGATGAGACATCCCATCAACAACAGCAACTTGCTGTTTAAGCTATAGCTTGTTTAATTATAATCCCTGGAAAATGTAGTTAGTGATAGAGATAGTGACTATCCTCCAGTCTCCTCTCTCGTATATTGGATTGTACTAAACCAACTTGGTTTTTTTATTTTGTTTTATTTCATGGGTTTGAATTTCAGTTTATTCTGTATGTACAGATGGGACTATCTTCTTTACAGTCTGGCTATCAAATTCTATGACTCTATTGTACCATTAACCTAAAAAATGAAATGGGTTGACTCGGTTTTCTGTTTCTCTTTTCATCATGGATGATTGGGTCGATACTTCTTGTTTCTGTCCCATGTTAGGATTCTCTGAACTTTTGGGATGGGCACTAAAAAGCACAGGATGTGGCAATGAGTTGTTTGAGTGGACAAAACTCAAGAAAGAAACACTAGTGGTCAGTGTAAAGCTTGCTGTGATGGTTAGTGCCATGGGTAGTTGACAAAAGAGTACTGTTTTGTTGTGGTTCATTTTGGGAAGTGATGACAGATTCTTCTATTTGACAGTTGTACTGATTCTTGTAAGGGGACAGACAACATGTGCAACCACGGACAACTACTCTCTCCCCTCTCTGTTAGAGATAGAGAGAGGGAGGAGGAAGATCACTTCCATTTTCATTGCACATTCATCTTTCTTATCTTACCATTTAACTTCTTGTCCATACATTTTTATTCACAGAGGTTTTCTTTAGAGATTGTGCACGGGTAAATTTAGTGTATATCTGTTTAGGAGATGCATGCTTTTTTGTCCACAATTTTTTATTTACAAGGTTTTCTTTGAGATATTATAATCAAGTTGAATTTAGTGCATGTTTATTTACGAGTGTACCAATAAGCAAGAGCTCTTAGTTATGTATTTATACTTTTAATAGATTTATTTTTTATAGTCTATTAAAAAATTATTTTAATTTAATAATTTAAATAAATTGCATATATCTACTTTACTTTTTTTTTCTATTTATAAATTTTAATTGAGTAAAGAGAAAGAATGTAAGTAGATATATGAATATGTAACTATTTAATCAACAACACTAATACATGTAATAAAACTACCCCAATCTAAAAACTTAAACAATGTTTCTAAATATAATTTAGATTATTTTTTAATAATTATTTTCAGAAAATAATTTTGAATAATTTCCTATCAAATTCTGAATACGCATACAAATCATAATTGATATGCTTATTTTATGATCTCAAATTGATTGGCATCTAGATGCACTATCTTCGAAATGCCACAAGATCATGTATATTTGACGAACATAAAACAAGCTTAAACTAGAAAATGGGAACTGTTCTTTCTGCTAGTTGATGACTGTGAAAGTGATGCAGCATTTCAATTTTCAGGCATCTTCTCTTGATTTTGTGGGCTGATTCCAATTTTATGTTTGACCCATAAAGTAGGCTCTGGGCTCCTTAATGGACTAGAAAACCAAAGCCGAGCGACCACTATAAAAAAAAGCCCAAATAGTACAATCAACTAATTTAGTTCAAGCGTATAATGCTGGGCGCTGGAAAAAAGGAGAAAAAATAGTAATGGGCTCAAAAAACACTAATGGGCTCGGAAAATCAATAATGGGCTTTACTCTTGCTAGGCTTTTAATTGCCGGTCATTATCTAAAATATTTATTTTCTTTTAAAATGGCCCGTAAGAAATATTTAGTAGGAGCTTAGCCCATCCCTGGAGGAATAAAGACCTTCTAAAGTATTCTTCTTCTTCTTTTGGAATAAAATGATTTTGAGTGCCTAATACTTGATCAACACATCTTTGGGAAGAAACCATGCTGTTAGATACTCAGTGTTATGTCATGAAGATATTAGATTTCATTTAAATAATTAAAGCTTCACATTTTCTCAAACAAGAAAATGATTATATATTTTTTTCAAAAACTAATTCATAAATATTTTCGACTAACTTACCACTACTTACTCAAAATTAAATCCCATAATTTTTGACTTGACGTATTTAGGAATTAAATTTTCTTGAATGTTGGTTACAAAGTTTAAACAAAAAAAATCTAGAGTGATTATCAAACTATTTAGTGATTTATCTTAATTAGAATAAACTATATTAATTTTTTGGATAAAACTAGAAATGAATTAGTACAAACTTCAATACATTACATCGGAACTTAGTTGACCTGGAACTCAGGTTTTCTTTCAATTGTCTAATTAAATTCAGGCTTGTAATTAGTCCAGTAAATTTGGAAAAACTCGGATGAAACCTGACTTATTGTTTTTATATATTTTTAAAAAATCTCAAAAAATATAAAGTTAATTTATAAATATTTTACCTTATATATATATTTTTAAAGCTTACATTCTCATGAAATATTTCTTAACTGTTTTATGTGAGATAATTATATTTATAGCCTACTATTTATTAACTTTTAAGTGTGGAATAATTATATAGCTTTTATTCATGTAGATTATTTTTTAATTTTTTATAGGATAACTATATATATATAAGTAATGTTTCTTTAACTTTTTTATATACCTTACATCTACATAAAATATTTTTTAATTTTTTAATATAAAATATTAAAATTTTAATTTTTTTAATTTTTTTAAATTAACTCAGGTTGATTTGTATGTCTTAAAACTGCTTCCTGCTTAAGTTAGCCTCATGTTGAATTTAATAACTATGCTTGGAATGGCAGAGAAACCAACCAGGATATAGTGGGTGGCCAATCAAAAGATCACAGATTCACCAGGGGCAAAAATGGTGGATACATATAGAAGAAAGGAAAGTGGCCCACTTGATCTTGAGAAGGTGGAACTTTGGACAAAAGTTAAAATGAATTGAGTTGCTGGTTAATTCACTGATGGATCTGGGGAATTAATATAGTTTTATTATACAGTTGTTTGCCTCCTGCAAATTTTCTGCCGTTTCAACAATGCCTTTGGAAAAAGAGCTAATCTTACATCTACATCCCTTTGTGGGTGTTCCTCCTGCCTGTCTAGCTTCTTGTTGCAAGACTTGTTTGCTCGAGTACATACAGTATGAAACACGGAGTGATCAAGATTGCCAATATTAGAAAGTACTTTCTCATATCACCTGCCCAAGTTTTTGCAAACTAGTAGAACAAACAGTATGCCGAGGAGTCCTTCAGTCAGCAGAACAAATTTATTAAATGGTGTTTGAAAGCGCCATGCTGATATTGTTGAGTTTAAAAAAGGTTCTTTAGATTAAAAAAAAGATTTGTGTTTAGAATTTTTGTTTAAATAATTAATTAGAATCCCTCTGGAACTAGTTATGATAATTCAAATTTAATCTTGTGAAATCATCCTAACATTGTTGACAAAATCAATAGTGTTTTGTCAACAATTTTAGTCATCAATATCAATAATGTTAATCATAAATTTGATACTATCTATCTTACCCTTGTTTTTTGCATGGATGTTTGTTTATAAATAGGTAATGCATTCAAGTATTATAGATACACCACAAGAAAAAAAGAAGAGAGAGTGAGGAGAGAGTAATTTCGTAAAATTATGAGGTATTTGTGAGATAATAAGTGAGGTATTTTCTTCTAATAATAGAGAGTTTTTTGTTGTTCTCCTATTATTAGAGAGAAGTTGTATTCTCACATTACTTAATTTTGTGTGTCATTTATCATTTTATTTTGTTTCTTATCTTTTGTCTTGTCAGATTTGCATGTCAGTATCCTAACGAATCTTCCCATAAATATAAGGGTATTATATATAGAGTTTAAGAATCCTAAATATCAACAAATAAGAGTATGAGGTTAAATAATATAGTGTTTAATATTTTCAACAAATATCAGAGCATTTCAACAATTGAAATCATAGCTTAGGAGAAAAGGAAAGCATATATGCAGCAGCAAAATATGCCACCTTTGATGAAAAATGTAGCAGCAACAATTCGTCGACTCTACAATTATGTATTTAAAGAAAAAGATCACAGCACAGCAGCCCTCAACACATGTAGCAGCTTCCCTTCCTTCCATAACAAACCTTAGCAAAGGGATGTCAAAGATCCTAGATGAGGCAGGTGAACGCCAAAATTAGTTTATTATTTGTCCCAGGCTAAAATAAACTCTGATTTGCTTAAGAAAATATTTTAGTTGGAGAAATAAAGTTTAGTGCAGAGAACAATGAAAAATGCAAATAATTTAATCAAATAATACTTGATAATTTTTATTTTGTGGACAAAAAAAAGATTAAGAAAAATATTTATTAATGATCACGTTGAATTTGATAATTTTTGTAGAAAATTGAAGAGTTAAAAATGAAATTGCATACAGCACCAAAGTTAAAGAGAAAAAACCCTAGAATATTAGGCTTTAAACTTCAACGACGTGTTGTCATGCCATGACCTGAAAGATCAACCATTGGTATGGTATTATTTTTTTTAATAAGAACGTCTATAAAATTATACCACTAAATCTTCATTCAAAAATCTTAATTAATTATAAAATTAACTATTAAAATAATATCACAAAAATTGTGCTATTTTTTATTTTAGCTTAAATTGATGTAAAAAAAAAAAGAGAGGCACTGAAAATAAGAGCACAACCGGAGGCTTTACAATTGAATTAGAATTTTAAAAAGCCCACATTAGTGTGGGATTAAACTACAAAAATATAAAAACTCTACACTTGTTGACCGGCTTGCCCATCCTTTTGATCCCTTTTGTCTCCTCCTTCCTCACTTCCAATTTGTCTCTCATTCTCACTTGCACGGTACTTCCTGAAGAAATCATCCAAACACCTCATCCCAAAAGGCACAGAAGCTGCAGCAACCAAAAGATAGCGAAAATGCACAGATTCATGAGTAACAGCCAAAACCGCAGATGCATAGGCTATCATCATTGAGGCTGTAGCAACCCCTATTTCAAGATGGAATGGGAACCAGCTGTATGTGAGAGACGTAACGACAAGCATACAAGTGGAAAGAGCCAAAGTGTTTGATACCAAAAAAACATAGTAGGCACGCTTTGCTCTTCCTTTATTATGTCTTTCTTGCCAGGCCCCTCTAGGAGGGTCCACCCCAGCCTGGAATGCAGTACGGTTGCAATAAAGGCCACAACTACTCTAGCATCCCCTGGTGAGTCTCTCACTTCATCATACTAAAATCTCTTGACCCGGCTAGCACTTTCACTCAGGCAAAGATATGTGCGTCATACCAGCACCCTGGCACCCAGATGCTACTTATAAAAAGTCTTTGGTTGAGAAATTTTAAATTAATATTAAATTATTGAATTGAGATGATTTTTTAATATAATATTAATAATTAAATAGTTAAAAATTAAAATTTTATTATTTTTATTTATTTAATAAAAATTAAATACAAGATAATAAAAAAATATATTAAAAAATAATATAAAATTATATTTTGATACCGCCCTCCTACTTAACAGAGATAGTTCTTTGAAAGAAAAAAAAACCTACAGTATCATGCCACATAATTGAACAAAGCCTTGCCACCGAATTCAACAAGTGTTGCTGTAAACAACCCTCGTATATGACATAAAAAAAAAAAAAAAAAAAAAAACCACAGCAAAAGTTCGAATAGTCCCCAGAAAATGGCAAAAACCCTGATTGGCTTCGAGCAAGGAACAGATGCCCGCAGTCTTGAAGTACTAAAGTTGGTTTAATGATTTATAAAAAAAAATGGTTTGATTGCCCGTCTTAATCCGTATGAAATCGGGGGAATCGTGATTAGTCTTGCATTGACCTTAAAGCTTTTTTCATGAAAGGATATTTACTTGATATAATTAAATTAAGATTATTAATCCTGTGCAGATTGCCTTTCTTACTTCAAATTTTGTTATAAAGTTCCTACTAACTGATTCAGTAACTACAATTAACTTGCCCCTTATTTCATTTTGAGTTTCAACCGACAGTTCCTCAATCACTTTTACTAATTTTCCATTCAGAAATCTTAATGATAACTATCAGAATAATAATACCACAAAAAATTGCTATTTTTTTTTAAATTTTAGCTTAAATTGATGTTAACAAAACAAAACCCTAACAACAAAGAGAAGTCATAATTAAATATCAGGAGAGGCCCTTTAACAATAAAAAAGATTACGTGTTCAGTAATTTACTAAATTAAAGTGAGTGATTTAAAAATTACTGGTCCCTACTGATAATTAAAATATTATAAAAAAAAGAAACAGGAAAATCTTTATTTAATCACAGCAACACGGGAAAATACCTGGCTAGTTATCACTTAATAAAAGACTACAAGAGCTGACAATAACAGCAAGGCTGCTACAACTGGAGGCTTTACTACGGATTTAGAAATGAAAATTAAGTCCACATTAGCATGGGCTTAATCTACAAAAATATAGAAAATCTACACTTGACCTGCTTGCCCATCCTTTAATCCTTCTTCCTGACTTCCTATTTGACTCTCATTCTGACTCATACCGTACTTACTCATACAGTACTTCTTGAAGAAATAACCAAAACACCTCATCACAAAAGGCACTGAAGCTGCAATCAAAAGATAGCGAAAACGCACGGATTCATGAGGAGTAACAGCAAAAACCGCAGATGCATAAGTTATCATCATTGAAGCTGTAGCAACCCATATTTCAAAATGGAAAGGGAACCTGTAAGTGAGAGATGTAATGACAAGTATACAAGTGGAGAGAGCCAAAGTGTTTGATAACAAGAAAACATAGTATGCACCCGTTTTAGATGCATAAATTGCTCTTCCTGCACGATCTCCTTCTTGCCAGACCCCTCCAGGAGGGTTCACCCCAGCCTGGAAAGTCACTGCTGCAATCAAGGCCACAACTACTAGCAAAACATTTCTAGCATCGCTTGGTGAGTCTCTGTCTGGATCATACTGAAATTTCTTGAACCAGCTATAACTTCTTTTAGTAATGCGTTTTCCAGGCTGAGACATTTTTACTTGGGCAAAGATATGTGGGAGATACCAGCACTCTGGCTCTCAAGAAGTTACTTATAAAGAGCCTCCGTTCTGGAGGATGGGGCCTGCCCTGATTATCACATGTTTCTCATATTTGATATCTGTACACCTAATTAATCAAGGATAATTATAAAAGATTTTCTATAGTTAATTTTATCTTAATTTGTTTTTCATATTTTTATAGATTATACTTTATATTCGATAACAAACAAAATACATTATTGAGGATATAAAATGTTATTGGACAAATAAACTATACAATGAAAAATATAATTTATATAAGTATGGATAAGAAGTGAAATTCATATAAAATTACAGAAAAATTTATATAATTATCCCAATAAATAATAGCATATGGATTCATTAAATAAAGTCTGAATCTTAATATATATACACACACAGCGATCATGTAAGGATTTCCAAACTATTTTAATGATCAATGATTACCCGAGTCAATGCAAGTCCATGAATTTAAGATTATATAAATCTTGTGCGATCCAAATAGCCCCACCAGGAGAAGAACGGTGGAAATTTGGAGAAAAGTTAGGCTGAATTGCATTGTTGTTTTGCAGATGGACCCGGGGAATTGATGTAAGGATAATTTTTAATTAAGTTAAGTATATTTATTAATTTAGTGGAAGATAAAATTAGTGGAAGAAAAAATTAATGAAAGTCATAAATTCGTGGAGTATTAGTGGGTGATAAAAATTAGTGGAGATGAATTGTTGGTATAATTTATACCATAATTTATGGTTTTTGTCACCTTATTCTTATTATAAATAGGCAAGAAGTGAAGAGTAGAGAGAAGAGAAAATAATTGGTATAATTTATACCATAATTTATGGTTTTTGTCACCTTATTCTTATTATAAATAGGCAAGAAGTGAAGAGTAGAGAGAAGAGAAAATAATCCCATAAAATTATAAGGTATTTGTGAGAGAGTAAGTGAGGTGTTTTGTCCTAGTAATAGAAAGATTTTAATTGTTCTCCTATTACTTAAAGAAAAGTTGTAATTCTCATATTACTTAGTAAAATCCTTCTATACTTATTTATGGATGTAACCCAAATTAGATGAACCACGTAAATTTTTATGTATTTTATTTTATTTTTTATTTTATTTTTTATTTTTTATCTTATCAAGTTTGCATACCAACGTTCTAACAATCGAGACTCCTTTTCAAGTCTTGAAGTTATTTTTTACAAATATTGGCACCGCATGGCAAAAAAAAACAGGGAAAAGGAACGTGAAAAAAAATAGAAAAAGAAAAGCTGTGTGCGTGATCAAAGAAACCACCTACACATTTCGTGGACAATTACACATTTCACTTTTCTTCCTTGAGATGGTTGCTATAGCTCGATTTTTTTCCTTGATGTTAAAAAAGTATAGGAATTAATAATATTTTTATATTTTGAAGTTAAATTTTAATAATTAATTTCAAAATCTAGTCAATTGACCCTTATTTAACCATAGGTGGAATCAAAAGTATTTTTAATCCTAAAAAATGAATGTGCATGTATTTTCGAAGTGTTTTCGACTTGAAGAGATTTATTGTAAATCAATTTTTTAATATATTTAATTAAATAAATTGAGAATAAAAAATAAATATAAAAAAAAGTGTCAATGCTAACTAAAAACTAAAGAAGAAAGTTAAGAGATAGATACGTGTTAGGTTATTTGATCTTGTAATATGATCTATAAATACAATTAAATTTAATAATTTTTTTTAGAATTAATCTTTATTTAATTAAACAATATTAAAAATAAACATGCTCAAAGAAGTTAATTGAATATAATTAAAGAATAAATATTACATAAGGTTGCACAAAACATCTACTAATATTAGAAAAAATAGTTATAATCTTTGAAAAAACCAAGTAAAAATTAAATATTAATCTATTAAAAAATATCGTAATTCTTTTAATTAAGTTATTTTAAGTGATTTCAATTAAAATTGAATACTTTCTTGGTTAAATATCTCACACTTTTATTTAAATAATTTATTTTAATTAATTTTAAATTAAATTTAAAAAAAAAATCAAAAAAAGCTAGATGTTTGGGCCAATAAAAGAAAAGCCCACATGAGAAGGACTGCAAGGCCGAGCTTGTGTACTTGAGCATTCCTCTTTTTCTTTCTCCGTCAAAGGTGCATATGCATATAACATGTTATTCACCTCTATTTTCTTTTAAAAATTTTAAGATAGACAACATGTTTAATCACTAGGTTGAAAAAAGGAAAGTATTTAACCTAAAAATTATTTTATAATCTATTTTCACATAAAACATTTTGGTCAACATTATCTTGTGTTTATTTTTTTTTTAAGTTTTATCAAATAAATAAAAATGATGAGATTTGAACTCGGAACAACTTAAATATTAAGGGTTCTGATATCATGTTAAAAAACTATATAAACTCAATAACTTAAATTATTAGATAAGATTTCAAGATATAATTTATATTATTTCATGTATAGAAGATTTTAGGATATAATTTATATTATTTTATGTATAAATATAAAAATTATTCTCGTGTAGATTGCCTTACTGAACTTGTGTTATAAAATTTCATCAGTAACTACAATTAACGTGCCACCTAGCAATGTTGTATTAGTGCTTTTGTTTACATAAATATTATTTTTGAAATTAAAATCTTAATTGTAAAATATATCAAAATAATGCCACAAAGAATGTGCTATTTTTTATTTTAGCTCAAATTGATGTTGACAAAACAAAACCTTAACAACAAATAGAAATCATAATTAAATATCAGGAGAGGCCCTTTAACAATAATAAATATTAAGCGTTCAGTACTAATTTACTAATTTAAAATAAGTAATTTAAAATTACTCCCTGCTGATAATTAAAATATTGAAAAAAAAATTAATAAAAGATTACAAAACAAGGCTGCTACTAAATAATGGAGGATTTACAATGAAAATAGAAATAAAAAGCCCAAATTAGTGTGGGTTTAATGCATCTTTAATTAGTATTATGGTGCAATATATGCTTCAAAAATATTTTTTTATTTTAAAATATTTCAAAATAAATTTTTTATTATTTTTAACATTAACATATCAAAATTATTAAAAAAATATAAAAAAAAATATCAATTTTATAGATCCTTACAAATTCTACTAAGCTAATACTTCAATTTTTATCCAATCAAGAGAACTAATCAACTAATTATTTCCTAACTATGCTAAAACTCTCTTAATAGAGATTGACTTGAATATTACAGAGTTCTGATAATATTATAATTTTTATAAATCCCATGAACCACAAACTTTTAATTTATGTTAAATTCTAATTATTCAGCCAGTTTTTATTAGCATTTCTAGATGTTCACGAGTGGAGTTCTTTTAGAAAAAAACTTACGTCCTATCACTAGTCAGTTTAACAATTTTAATTAATATATATATATATATATATAAAAAAAAACCAATTCATGTAATAATCTTCCTTTATCCGAGTCATCAATTCATGTGATTACCAGTGTCGGATATCTGGGTATCCAAATAGGCCCACCAGGAGAAGAAAGGTGCAAATTTGGACTGAAGTTAGACTGAATTCCAAATATCTGTGATCCAGCTTTAAAACGTTACGTTTTAAGGAAAACCTAATTTATTCTCTAATTTATATATTCAATCTTAACTGGATCTCAATCAGACCTATAAATTTTATCAATCTGAGGTCAAATATTCTAAACAATTCTTAACCAGGTTCTTATGTTAATATTATTTACTTTTTTAATATGTTTCTTTTCAAAACAACATCATTTTATTACACAAAATATATCTATTCTATAAAAATATTAACAAAAATTCGATGGAAGAAGGACTCTATTGAGAAATGTGGGAAAAAGATTGATAAATTACTTGAACAAAAAGCTTAAACCCATTGGAATACTTGTTATGCTGATTAATTATTCTTAATAAAAATTGAGATATTTATTACTGATACTGTGAGCTTCACTGTACTGGCAGCATGCTAGTGGAGATCAACATATAGTAATTAATTAATTGCTTCCAGTAGAGCAGAATGCTACCAGGTAATAAAGCTAACAATAAAAGAACCAAGAAAAAAGATTTAAGTTATAGTTATTAGAAAAGATATAAAGATATATATAGGGAGGTTGCAGGGTTGAACTTTATTTTTTTACGCTGTAATAACCAATGCTTACGTACAGCAATATCAGAACATTTCTGCTCTCAGCAAAATAAAATAAAATAAAACATAAAATTCTGCATGATGAACGCGGATCTTAAAATTGAACCAGCTCCAATACTGCGCAGGAGCAGTATTTTGAACCATTACTTGGGTATTCGTAATCCTAGATGGCGAACTGCGGAGGCTACCACCCATATGACAAACCGCATCACAAGAGGCGCAGGAGCAGCGACGAAGATGAGGCGAAACGACACTGACTCGTAAGGTGTAATACAATATATCCCAGAACTGTAAGTGCCCATCATAGAAATTGTAGCAATCAAGACTTCCAAGAAATAAGGGTAACCGAAGGTTAGACATAATAAGAGAAAAATGGAGGACGTTAGTGCAATGGTGTTGAATAACAGGAAGATTTGGAAAGGAACTTTCTGAGCAGAATAAACAGCATGTCCAGCTCTATGTCCCTGATTATCATTGCTTTGCCAAACTCCACCAGGTGGGGTGATTCCAGCTTGGAAGGTCACGGTCGCGATCAGCGCAGCCCCGACTAGCATAACATTTCGGAAGTCATCAGTTGTCCCTGTTTTGCATGGCGGGCTTGTTGGCAATATAATAGCTTTAAAGGGATTGATTTGGGTTTTGTTATTAGTACTGTCTTCATGTTCTCCTGGCATATTTCACTAGGGATTGTAAGAGTGGTGATTTTTTCGTCCCGTCTTTCACTCAAACTCAGCGGGGCAAAACAAGGCTCGAATAAATTAATAACAGGAACGGGAACGGTGCATTTGATTTTCATTCAAGTAAAGAAAGGTTCTCTTCCACGAAAGTACTCAGAACCAATGAAATTCACCTGGGAATTCTTTTTGGTGGAGTGTTGAAATCATTCAAGAAAGGTATAAGATGCTGAAACAGCTGGCCAAACGGGAAGTGCTATTTTTATTATTTTTTTTAAATTTCCCTTTCCTTCTGGTGTTCAATAATTTAGAATTCAGAGGGACCGAGACTGCCTGTAATTAATACACTGAAAATAAAACTCGAGTTATATAGTACATGATTTAAAAAAAAAAGAGTTACAAATTTAAATATAACAAGTTCTATACGAAGAAGATTTGGCTCAGCGTATAACGGGTAGAAATAGGTTTGGTGTCTTTTACTTTTAAATTTATAATTTTTATTAGATTAGAAGAATGATTGAAGAATTCGAGGGAAGAAGTTAAATTGCTAGCTTTATTTCCACATCTCTGATTTTGCGCGCGAGGATGATTATTTTATTCAAGAAGCGTCATGCATGATTTCATCATTTCCGTCGCCATGATGTAGCACACAACGCCGTCAGTTCTGTGACATCAGCTTTGAGAATGTTAAGAATACCCCGCATTAGAGGCAAAATGGCAAATTACAATTCCACAATCATTTGTTTTCTCGCAAAAAAAAAAAAATCATCAATAATTGGGGATGAATTCCGTTCTTATCCAGAATAGCAACTCCAACTCACCCACATAATTAAGTTTTTCATGGTTATTTTTTCTAATAAATAATAGATATAATATAGATATTAAAAAATGTAATTTGAACCCATCTCAAACTTACTTGATACAAGTTGAATTTTAAGTTAGACTCCAAAATATGTTGACCAATGAAATCAGGTTAATAGATTTTTAATAATTTGATTAATATAATTAAATTTAGTTCAAAACTTGATTAAATTAACTTTTAGAATTTGTATTTAATAAAAAAATTGACCTAGCGATCCAAGTTTTTCTTTAGGCTGGTTCTTAGAACATGTACAATAACTATAATTAAAAAATCCAATTGAAAGCTCAATTCGGTTCAAGGCTTAGGTTTTAGATTAGTTGAGTTAATTTAGGTTAATTTAAATTTTTTTATTAAAAAATCCAATAAACAAAATTATATCAAGAATTTTAAAAAATAGAATAAAATGATATTATTTTACAAAAATTCAGGTTTTCTTGACTTGATAGGATACAAGTCTTAGGTTAGTAGGTTGATCAACCAGGCTTGTCGGGAACTATGTTCATAACTATGGTTGATTTTTATTGCAATTTTTTTTAAAATGTTTTTAAACCTTGAATTCAAAGATAACATGCAATAAGCTAGAGGACACGGATCTAGGAGAGGTGAGGAGTCATACAAACCTGCATGCAATCGGGGGGGATCATAATTTGCCTTGCATTTGACCTTAATGCTTTTTTCAGAAAGGGATGTATACTTGATATAAAGATTATTATTGTGCAGATTGCCTTAATATAAGCTAGTGCAGTGGTACACAAATATTGAATCTCCAACCATAAGAAGCCCGCACCAGTTTTTCCTTTCAATTTTGTAAACCAGGATGCAAATTTATTAGGGGAAAAAAATACATTAGTAGTCTAGAGGTAGAGGATACAGAGAGAATACAACCTAGGAAAACAAGAGAAGGACAGATTAGAAATGAACCAGCTTATGCTGGCCTTGGCGCCCACAGCTCTTACACACTTTGGCCTGTTTCCCCACCTATTTCTTCATCTTTCTGACAATTTATTTGACCATGTTTCTTACTCTTACGGCATTTCTTGAGCATCTGAATCAAAAACCTTGTGATAAAAGGCACTGAAGCTGTAATCAAGAGATAGCGAAAATGCACAGATTCATGAGGGGTAACAGCAAAAATTGCAGAAGCATGCATAAGTTACCATCATTGAAGCTGTGGCAACCCAAATTTGAAAGTGGAAAGGGAACTTGTAAGTGAGAGATGTGATAACCCAGATTCATAAGCAAAGTGTTTGACATGAAGAAAACATAGTAAGGAGGTTTTTGAGACGCATAAATTGCTCTGCCAGCTGCATGATGTTGTTGGGCGTTATCATCCTGCCAGACTCCACCAGGAGGATTGACCCCAGCTTGGAATGTTACTGCAGCAATCAGTGTGGCAATTACCAGCAAAACATTTCGTGCATCATTTGGTGAGTCCCTTTCTTTATCATATTGGAACCAGCTAATGCTTCTCTCGGTATTTCGAGGGTGTACTTGAGCCATTTTTATCCAAGCAGCAACTTATGATGCCAAACACTCTAATGAGTACCTTTAAATAAGTTATATGCATACAAGGAGTTAAAGGCATTACCTTAATTTCTTATTAAAAAATCCAAACCATTAATTTGCAAAATATAATACCTAAAATGATCGAAGCATAGTTATAAAATTCATATGGTCTAATAACTAATTAAGATAGAGCTTGATTTCCAAACTTATATGAAAAATAACCTTGTCAATCTCATTAATTTGATTGACTTTAAATAAGATTTGATCAGTTTAATTTTAAAAAATTTGTTATTAATTATTTCATGATGTATCTTTATTTTTTTAAAATACTTATCTAAAATTGAATTTGTTTCGAAATTGATCCAATAAATTAATTCACAATTCCAACCATAGATAAAGCCTAATGAGTATGGATTGCAATAGAAAAAGAACCGGTAACTCTGTATCAACCAGTTTAATATTTAATTGTGTATATATCAAATATTAAACCGGTTCCAACCTCGTGACAAATTGATCTCCTTTCTATAATCCCGAGTCACAGCTTTCAACCTTGACATTGATGCGATTGCATGCTTTCACTTGCAAGTTGCAACTCCCCGAAGATGTGAGATTCCTAACTCTTCTCCTAATCTTTCCAACAAAGTGAGAAATAAGACCCGCATTGACCGGTTGCATTAGGGATGGTCTTTGTATTCTTTAAACACTACATATCTCCTCCTTGCATGTCACTTAACATCGTTTAGGAATCTCATATTCACTTCAAAATTTCAAGCTATATAGCTCCACTGGCAGTAGGGCTCCCCTCCCCTCGAGAGATATCGCGCCTCTCCTTTGTAATAATAATAAATGAAAACTCCAAAATTTCAATGCTAGAGATATGCACACAGAATGTCAACTTCAGAAACATGTTAACAGTCGCGGATCACCTTCCCTGTGATTTGGACAACTTTCTTTTTAGTAATTAATAATCACCGCATCAATAACTAAGTATTCGTAAATATTAATGCAGCGACCCAAACATGTCTTTCGACTGATCGATTATTGAAATGCCGGCTTGCTGATTTGGTTGATGGACCTTAATTAAGAAAGGAGACTCGTACAGGTCTTGAAAGCGTACACGAGGAAGAAAGCTTCATTGGTTTTGTGCATCCTCCCTTACTGTGTGAACTGAACATCTTTTTCCCCTTTTTATTTTTTTTTAACTAACTACACATTTCATGGAAGGTACAAAACCAAATGTCAAAAACAGGCTGTATGGCTAAATATATAATATATGTTGGAGTTTTGTCCACTTTAGCTAACCAAGCACCCCCCACCAAACATGACAAAATTACCTCTTCGGTAGTAAAATGTATGCGCATCAGTGCATGTGTCCTGACTCAATAAAATAAAATATTACTCAGTCAACATTGTAGAAACCCATGCATGCAGATGCAATTGCAAGCCTTTTCTCATTCCCAGGGTGACTTCACTTCTTGTTTTGTTTGTTAATTATGTGGTCTGCACACAAGATGTAGCAGGCCAAGCATCTAGTAGCTGCTTCCAATGTGAAATCTGTGTCATCCCGTATCTATTTTTGGGCTGGTCTGGGCTTGTCTGGGCTTGGCTGGGCTAAGCAATAAACCAATTAGTGTCGGCTGTGTAGTTTTTGCTGGCTCCAATGGTGGTTTAGATGACACTGTGCCATTGATTCACAACTTGTCTTTCAGTCGTTTTTATCAATCACTACAAATATATCAGTTTCTGCCATCGTATCAATATTGATCCTGCTTGTAATTTCCAATGTCTTTCAAAACCAATCGTCAAACTCACTCTAAATCTCATCATCGTCAAGCTTCCCTTAAATCCCTTGGTAGTTCTACCCCGTCCCTTCCATCCCTAGTTCTTCTAAAGCATTTATATACTCGCCTTTGTATTTTGAAAGCTTCCCCATCATTTTTTTGTTGAATTTTTAAGGCAATCCTTCGGAGAGTTTGGGAAGGTAGATGATGTTTATGTATACAGGAAAACAACGTAACACGTGAGGTAGGAGATTTGGTCTCTTGAAGATCAGATCATCGTTGCAGAAACAAGAATTGCTATCTCACCTTATGGAATATGGTTTGGATGCTACAAGTTGAGGGTTGACCTTGCTAGATTTATAAGGAAACCTTCTAACCTATACATGGAACAATTCGAAATGAAGTGAATACGAAGTGCTATTAATAATTGCAACTAGAAATGTTAGTGAATATGTTGATTGATTTTATATATGTTATTGATTTTATTTATGTAAAATATATTTATTATTAATAAAAAAATTATTTTTAATATTTAATTATATTTAACTAATTAATTTAGAGGAGAGATAAAGTTCATGAAATAAAAATATTTTATATAAAAAATTATAAAATTATTATAACTATAAGATTAATATTATTTCAAAGTGTTATTTCTAAATATTTTTTATCAATACTCTATTAAAATAATATATTAATTAGAGTTATTGAAACCAATATATATTATGTTCATTTCTTTATGAAAGGAAACAGTTGTTTTTATAAACTAAGGTATAAGGAATATTTGAAATTAATATGCAAGTACTTGTTAAATAATACATATACTAAATTAATATATATTATGTTTATTCCTTTATGAAAGGAAGCAGTTTTTTTTATAAATTAAGAAATATTTGAAATTAATATGCAAGTGCTTGTTAGATAATACATCTACTAAATTGATTTACAAAATAATTTTATATGAAAAAATTATCTATATATATAAATAGGCTCACATATGATTATTGTCTAAGTGATTAGCTCACACATGATTATTATAAAAATAATTTTAAAATTTGATATTATTAAATTATTTTATATAAAGAGTATTATATTTTAATTGGAATATTTTTTATTAAAAAATAATAATAACACTAGAAATTGAAACGGGAAAGGTTAATTTGTATTATTTTTCTTTTTATTCAATAAGAATGATGGGATTTTATTTTTTTAATTGATTTGATGTATCCAATCTAATAATGTCTGAAGCCGATCGATCACATCAGCTTTTTCATGGGTTTTCTTTAGAGGCACAACAGAATTTGGCAACTCTAGTCATGCTACAACCCTTTTGTTGCACAAGGATGGATTTTAGGGTATCACTAGTTTATGACCTGCGCTACGCTGTGAAATGTAAAAAAATCTGTGTTAAAAAAAAATCAAGAAAGTACAGGTATATTTAAAAAAATAAAAAAAAATCATAATTTGAATCATAGTGAATCAAATAAATTTGTCTTATCTCATGACATCAAGCAGGAATTGATGTTGCCAAACACTTAACATGCATATAATGAGTCAGAAATATTAGAAAAGAAGCGGTCACCCTATAAGAGCCGCCGGTCTAATCCCATATCACACCTAAAATCCTTTTGAAATCTTCCTTTATTGTATGATGATTATTTATTTTTTTCCAGTTGACCCAAAGTAATTAAAAAATGAGAAAGGCAATGTGAATTGGTGATAGTTTTTTTGAATGGCATAATTGCAAACGCGATTGTGCTTAAGAAAAAATTGATTATATGCATTACATACTCTTGTGTACACATGATCTCAGAAAATACTCCGCCGATTTTTTCTTTTGTTCTTAGACAAAAAAGGTTCTTGGAAAGAATAAGTTTTCTTTTGTATAGCAATTCATGCATGTTGATGCAATTGGAAGACTTTTCTCCTTCTCTGGGAGACTTGACGTTTTCTTTTTCTTTTTCGTTTTTGTTAATTAGGTGGTCTGTACTCTGCATACAAGATGCAGCAGGCCAGTAGCTAGTGGCTACCTCCATTGTTAAATCTGGGTCGTCCCGTATTTGTTTTTGGGCTGAGCTAGGCGATAAACCAGCGGTGGTTGGGGTAGACTTCCCGCCAGTAGCTAATATGCTAATTGCAATATTCTGGGTTTTCCACTTGGGCTACCCAATCTATCCCCAGTCAGGGCCTCTAGGTAATAGCTAGGCTTATAAGCAGCAAGAAAAAGCATAAAGAATCTAGCAATGTGAAGACATGGATGAAGCATGGAGAGGTGAAGAATGTACTGAACTGATAAATTTACAGAATTAACAAACGCTGTGAGAAATTGATCTTTACTACTCCTGCCACAGAACAGAATCTTGGATAAATTATTACTATGATGTTTCATCGGAACTCATTTGCAAGCTTAATGGGCTGACACATCAATGAACTTTGAAATGAATGAAATTTTAATTTCACACCGTGGCCTGGTTCCTATCAGCAGAAGTTCTTTTCTTTTTCGGAGGAAGGACACCCCATTTCTTAAGTATCCATATCATAAAACGGGCAAACTCTGCGAGAACTAGCAGGCCAACCAACCAGACCACTGCGTCTATTGTTTTCCTTTCTGTTGGTGACATATAAATTACTGCAATCACGTAAGTAGCAGTCATTGAGAGTATGGCAAGACGCAAGCCGGCTCTGAGAGGAAATCCGCTGGTTAGGAGGGAAATCATGGCTATAGATGCAAAAAATCCAACTGCATTAAAGACAGTGAATACGGCAAAAACTTCAGGGTCACTAGTCATGACAGCCTCTCCAGGCAAAACATCTCTCTTTTGAACACTATTAAGCGTTTGAGATCGTCGAGACTCTGCTGACCAAAAACCACTGGGAGGGCTAAGTATAGCTTGGTATGTCACTGTTGCTATAAGCGTTGCGACAACCATTAATGCATTCTGAGTTTCAGTTGATGACTCCTCAATTTCTAGCTTCAACTCTTTCCAGAGGTTCCATGGACGAGAATTTTGCGATGTTTGATTAACATTCTTGTTAGTGTTCTTCACTTCAACTTGGCAAGTCGAAGCAGGATTTGTTGTGATATCTATAGCTTTCATTGCTCCTGCTTGCTGGAACATCTCTAAGATGCTGATGTCATTGTATTCACCTCCACTATGAAGAATAAAATCAAGAACATCCTTTGCTGTGAATCCACTTGCGTTAATAGAATTTACTTCTACTCCGTAAGCAATGGCCTCTCGACCAATTAATAGCCTTATGGTCTGCATAAAGAAACAACATGTAATGAATGCTTCACCCCGGCGTATAATATACATCTTCTAAGGTATTTATGTGTTTTGAATCTAAAACCCAGCTCTGAGAATGCAAATCAAACCTCGTGGACTATTGTTTTGATCAATGTATATATGTTTGCATCTGATAATCACAGATCAAAGCACTATATTTTTCAAATAAATCAAAATGGTATAGAAATATGTAAGAATAATTTTTCTTTACCTCATGTTGTTTTCTGAAGGCAGCTAGATGCATTATGGTGTTACCATCCTTGTCCTTCCAGTTAACAATCTCCATCATGTCAAGTTTCTTGATCTCTTCCAACAAAACCTTAACAGCTTCAACCTGGTTACTCTTTACAGCTACATGAAGCACAGTTTCACCGCAAGTCGTTACCTCTTTAACAGATTGTGGGCAAGCACATACTAATTCCTGCACTGTATTGACTCTTCCTTTCATTGCTGCAAAATGAAGTGGTGTTTTGCCATCTTTTCCCTTTAAAAGACAAATATCATATCCTACCATTAAAAGCTCTCTCACCAGCTCTACATGCCCTTTTGAGGAGGCAATGTGTATAGGACTAAAACCATCTTGATTTAGCTCCCAGGCAAATGCTGGCTTTTGACACGCTACTTCTCTTGTGATTTCGAGTTGGCCAGCTAATGATGATAGGTGTAGAGGATTCTCTGTTGAGTTCAAAGAAATGCGGTCAAGTATAAGTGGATCTTCTGCTAGTAATGAGCGAAATGCAGCTATATCACCAGAAAGAATGGCATCAAACAATCTTGAATCCATTCTAATTGGCAGCGATTATCTCACTACAGTACTTAAGTTTTTGAGGGAAATGATAGACAATAAATATTTTTAGTACTCATGATGTTGTTGTAGTGAAATGTTTTGCATATGTTATAGCAAATAACTACTTCGAAAAAAAAAAAAAGCAAACTTTTCAAATATATGTTTTGCATATGTTATAGCAAATAACTACATGAAAAAAAAAAACTTTTCAAATATATTTTTTTATAATAAAAATTCTAATTATAAATCAAAAAGCTTATAAATATATTTAATTAAATAAATTAAGAATTATTTGTGCTAATAAATACAAAAAAAATATTAACTTTATTATACAACTCGTTTAATTACTGGTTGAATAATTTTTTTTTCTAACAAAAAATTATTTGTGCTAATAAATAAAAAAAATATTAATTTGATTATATAACTCGTTTAACTGCTGGTTGAATAATTGTTTTTTCTAACACAAATAAATTGGTATATAGATGTTATTTACATGTTTTTTTTATTGTGAATAAAAAATATAAAATTAAGATATTGATACTAACATATAATAAAATATAAAAAAGATTATATGTATTAATAAAAATATGAAATGTTTGAAGTTCATTTTTAACATAAAAAATAGAATAATGTTGTAATTGTTACATTGAAATATTATTTCCTTGATTTTTGTATAATAATTTAAAAAAAAAGGTGTAAAGAGAAAAAATTAAAAAAATAAATAAAAAATAATAAAGATAAAAGATAAAAAAAAATGTAAATAAGTCAAGTATAGAATAATAAATACTTAGTGTAAAGAATAAAAAATAATATTTTTTAAAAAGAAATAAAAAAATAAAAAAAATATTACAAAAAAAATAAAGATAAGAAAAGAAAATGGTGGTTAATAAACCAAGTGTAAAATAATAAAAATATCAAGTATAAAAACAAAGACAAACCTAAGAAAAACTTGTTTTCTAAAAAAAAACTGAAAATTACAGATTTATCACTTCTACATTAAAAAAAATTTAAAAAAATCAATTGCGTTACTTTTACAGATCATTTACTTTTAATATATAATAATAATAATATATTAAATTTCCTGCTCAAGAAGTTTCTAATAGAATATTTGATAATGCCTAACGTAGACATTAGGAAATGTATCAAAGCAAAGTGGTTCAATCACGCAACATAACTTAAAATCACTAGACAAATACTATACCAAAGAAACTTGAAGAACATGTTTTGAAATGCAGTTTTTTAAAAAATTATTTTTTTATGTTTTTTTATCATTTTGATATATTAATATCAAAAATTAGTTTTAATTTTTTTAATATCATTTTAATATATTTTTTAAATAAAAAATAATAATTACGGTACTCTCAAATACCATCTTATAAAATAAAAAGGAAACCTTAACCCCATGGAGTTAAGAAAGAATAAAGACATGGCATCTTGTATTATAGTTATAGGTACAAAGTAATATAATTTTAGAAAAAAGGGATTAAAGAAAAAAAAAGGTAAGAAGTCATCTCAAATTAAAATTCTATTGAAGATTTAACAAATTGCAGATTTAGATCTTATTTGAAAGTATGATAGTTTTTGTTTTTTCTATTTTTTAAAAGTATGGTTATCTTAAAAAAATATAAAGTTAATAGTTTTCTTAGTTTTTATTATTATTTTAATGTGCTAATATTACAAATAAAAAAACTAAAAAAGAAATATTTTAAAATAATTTCAAGTAAAAAACATTTTTAAAAAGTAATTTACATCAAATTATCAAATACTAATAAGGTTTATATAATGTCTCCACTTCAATAAATAAATAAAAAAAAAACAAGTTGGTTTATATAATGTCTCCACTTCAATAAAAAAAAAAAAAAGTGAGGAAATTCAGACAAATCAAAAATTAAATTCTGAACATCAGCGGTTCTTATATATATATATATTGTAATTAGAGTGCTGTTTGGCTTTCAAGCATTGTGGATTTAAATCCCATTGAAGGGTGGTGGAGGGAACATTGAATGAAAGGGGCTGCTTTTTTCTTAATTTTTCTTTTTTTTTACTGGCTAGTAGGTTTTTTCTTTAAGAAATATATTTTATTTTTTATTTATTTGTCAATAGTAGAATAATATTTTTATTTCAACTTATATATAATATTTTTATATTTAAATTAATATTAATTAACTATTCAGTATAAAATAATTATAAAATATTAATAAAACTCTAACTTCCATCCTCTTTTATTTTTATATTTTTTATATATTGGATTATTTCACATCTTTTATCCTTTCCTTACTCTCTGTACGGAACTGTTACGAAAAAAAAAGAAGAAAAGAGGGTCTATTGCTCTCGGCTCAAATATAGGTGGCCCATAAGCAAGAATAGCAAGTCGGCCATTGTGGTTTTTCTTTAGTGGGCCTCTCTTCCCCTTCCTCCCTCTAGAGAGGGCCTCTCTCTTCTTGAGTAGCAGCTCTATCCACGTTTTTTTGTGAAATTAAAAAAAAAAAAAGCAATTTTCTTATACTGAATAAAATATAAACACATTATTATACCAAAAGTATTATCAATTTAGTCAAAAAGAAACTGCTTTGATTCCAATATTATACCAAAAGTATTATCAATTTAGTAAAAAAGAAACTGCTTTGATTCCAAACCAAATACAGAAAAACAAGCGTCTTTCTTAATTAAATTTGTCTAACTAATTATTTATTTTATGTGTTAGTTATTTGGATGGTATTTTTTAAAAAAAATATTTTTTATTTAAAAATATATTAAAATAATTTTTTTTATTTTTCCAAACCAAATACAGAAAAACAAGCGTCTTTCTTAATTAAATTTGTTTAACTAATTATTTATTTTATGTGTTAGTTATTCTATTGTGGGCCTTGGACCGGGTCAGCTACCGGGCCAGGTTTAAAAACTATGTTCCAAACCAAATACAGAAAAACAAGCGTCTTTCTTAATTAAATTTGTTTAACTAATTATTTATTTTATGTGTTAGTTATTCTATTGTGGATAGTATTTTTTTAAAAAAATGTTTTTTATTTAAAAATATATTAAAATATTTTTTTTATTTTTTTATTTTTATACAATTAAATAAAAATAAATAAAAAAAAACACTAAAAAACATCAATTTAATAATTTTTTAAATCAAATAAAGCGGTTTAAATGGAAAAAACAAACAGTCAATTCTCTATAAACTAGAACACAGGAGAAACAAGCAGAAAAGGAAGAAAAAAAAGGCTGGACATGCACGGGTCATGAAGTCTAGTGTTGTCAAAATAGACTCGGAGAAATCATGGGATTTCCTCATCGCTCTTTCTACCATCAAAGACTGCCCTGGTAAGTGATTTTCTTTCCTGTCTATGCGCACCACTGTACGATGACCTAGCCACTTGGAATTTACGTTTCAAGAAATTTTACTCGATTCTGTCAGCTTTTGTTCTGCGAAGTTTTCAATTTGGAGGCTAAAATTGAAATCCTAAGATTCATTAGACTTACCTTACTGCCATCTCTTCTTTTTCCTCCTGAAGAGTCTCCTTTTCGAGCCTTCTTTTGAGGTCCAGAACTCTTGAACAATGCATAATACCAGTAAGTTTTGAGATTCAAATTCACTTAGAGCTAAGAAGCTATGTTAGTAGACGTGCATAAACTCTTGAAGATACCTCTCTAGACTCTAGCTCCTATTGCTGGATTGTTTTTGATAATGCAGAATGAGGATTTTAATTTGAAAGAATAGGCGAATGGTGGTTGGTCCTGAAAGCTTCTTTTAACTGTTGGAAACTGACGGAACCAATTCACAAGTTGCTCAAATTGAGGGCTTTTTTTTTATATTTTTTTATGGTTATCAACAGATAATCGGCGTGGGCGGCGAGCTCTGTTGGTGGTTTTGGCTGCGCAATTTGAGGCTATTAGAGCAAGTAAGAAAATACGCAAGAAAATGCAAACAGAAGAAAGAGTGAAAAGGAGATAATCAACACCCGTGAAGCCCCGATCAACCTTGAGCCCATGGAATTAAGAAAGAACAACGACAAACACATACATATATTTCTTATTCGTTGGTAATTATCATTTTGCACTTTTGAAAAAAATCAAATGCTTTCTTTCAAGGAGAATTGTGGTCTTTTCACATTGTTCATCAATCATTGAAGGATTAATGATTCGGAGTATAAATATATTTTTAAAATTTTCAAGCACAGTAAATTATCTAATTGTCTTCCCAGTTAAAAAATTTGAAGGTGGAACCAGGGGTATTTATATTTTTTTATTTTTTTCATATAATAAAATGATAATTTTACTTCTTACAAAAAAAAAAAACTACAGATGTCGCTGTGTCCCTTCTTATTAGTGTGAAACGTGTTAATAGTGGGGAAACAATTTATTACTAGTGAAGCTTTTTTTTTTTTTTTCCTTAGAGCTTAAAGCTTGGTTTTTTTATTGTTATTATTTTATCCTTTTTTTTTTTGGTTATTTTGTAAAAGATTTATTTTTTTAATTTAATTTTTCAATGTTAATTTGTCAAATATCATGTTTTTCAATTGGTTGTTATTCTTTTATTTCTATTTTTTTTCCTCTTTTATAAAGGTTTTATCAATTTTAATTTCAATCTAAATTTATCATATATTATTTTTTCTGATTTAATCCTTGTTTTTTTATTTTTTTTAAAGTTATTTCTTTTCAACTTCATCCTCTGATCAAAAAATTATAATTGTCCTCTAATTTATTTTAATTTTTATTCTTATCTTTTTAATTGTTTTTTTTTTATCTTGGATCATTTGGTGTGATTGCTTCGTTTTTTCAATTCATTTTTTATTTTTTTATTTATTAAAGATTAGGTTTTGCTGGTACTTATGGTCTAATAATGACTTGGATTACAAGTTTGAAAAGTTAACGAGAATTGATATTTTTTTTGTTTTTTTTTTATGATTCCTTCGTTAAAAGTTAACGAGAATTGATATTTTTTTTTTTTTACGATTCCTTCGCTTGATAGTAGTTTTTATTATAATTAAATGGTTTTTTAATTTTTTAATTTTTTTATTTATTAGGTTATTATAATTTGATAATCTAAAACGCGTGTTTGATGAGTTAGCTTATGTTATAAGTCTATCATGTGATTCATGTTGGTTTTTTATTATTTTTTTACTTAATTTTGTTTTTTATATTTAGTTGGCTAAACGATAAACATTGTTTTCTTGCTTTTGAAGAAAAAAATTTCTCGTGTATTATCTGTTATTTTATTATTATTATTATTTTTTTTTCATGTAATTAAAATAAAATATCTGCACATTATTTTGTACTAAATAAAATTAATATGAACCCGACCCCCCAGCATATCACGCACACTTTTAGTGTGCGCGTAAAAGAAGGCCCTTTGATTGCCTTCAATTTGATATCTGAGTCTATTCTTGTCCAATTAAGAAACTAGAATCCAGTTCATAGCACTGATATAATTAACAACACAACACCAGTCCATTCACGGTGTAATTGAAGCTTCCTTGCAGAGGATCGGATCTTTTTATGAAGTTGTTTTGCCGGATTTCGTGTCCCAGCACGACCAAATTATAAGAAAAAGCTTAAAATGTTACATGGAATTGGAATTTGTAGGGTAACCTGGCCAGAAGGGGAACTTGGAAAGAAAGGACGCCATTTCCTCGGGCTTGGGACTGGGAAGTCGTTCGGTAGGTACGGTTTCTTTTTTTTTTTTGTTTTTTCTTCACTTCACTCTACTCTCTTGCTTAGAAAGTTTGACAATAAACCATTTAGGTGATGGTTAAGTGATAAAAACTTGAGATTAAAAGGTTTGTTCTCTCTGTAGTTTCAGATTCGAGTTCTTTGTTGCTCATATGATGACCACTGAAGGCTTATATGATCGTTAACTTCAGGGCTCATGGGATTAGTCGTGGTGCGCGCAAACTGACCCGGACATCCACGTTAATCTAAAAAAAAAAAGTTTGACAGTATATTTGAATGGTATTTATGAAAAAATTTAAATTTTTTTAAATTAATATATTTTTTATATTTTTAAATTATTTTAATATATTAATCATAAAATTAATTTTTTAAAAAATACAATCCTCGAAAGAGTTTAACAAATAATGTTCTGTCATTCACCGCTACAAGCATGGAAAAGGAATCAGGCTATCCCTTTTTGTTTTTGTGATTTGGTCCTGTTTTACAATACGGTTTAATTATTTTTTTGATGTTTTATATTCAAAATAAATTTTTTAAAAATATAATTTTATTAAATTTTTAAGCACAAAATAATTTAAAAAATAACCACCTAGACAAGCCTGAAAATTCACAGTTGCGGTCTGTGGAAGCAGTACTTTCTCCATACATGCTAATAGATTTAGAATTGTTTGTTTTTATGTATGAAATTATATTTGAGTATGTTTTAAAAGTGTATTTAAATTGAAAAACATCAAATTAATTGTATTTTTTAAATAATTTTAATATACTAATACCAAAAATAAAAATAACAATTATTTTTATATTTGTTTTTAAAAAATATACTCTTAAAAAATAATTTTAACGAAGATACCAATCACGCACTTAACAGCAGCCATGTGAATTCCTGGAATGTTCTTTCCCCACTCTTCGTCTCCAAATAATGGTGGTCGCACCCAATTTGCACGACGCACAGGGGAAGTCAAAAGGCAGCAACAGTATCACAATCGCTAGACAATTGGCAGAGAAGGAAAGGACAACCACGGAGCTGTTTATGAGCGCCTTTAAAACTATATTTCCTAAAAATTTGATTTATTTTCTTTCATTTATTTTAATATGTTAATATAAAAATAAATAAATTTAAAAAATAAAAATATTATTATCTTAATATATTAAAAAAAAACTCTAAAAAATAACCACACAACATCTACGGCAGAAACACTGGTTCGACTACCGTTCACCAACCTCCTACACTGGACTATGGACGGATCCATCCCTACGACAGGAGGGCTCATACCGATAACCGCAGGAATATTTCATTAATTAATAATGAAATAAAGGTTGTAAAGAGAGGTTGATTGATTGATTAATTAATTAATTAATTAATCGATTGGCGTCATGCCCACAGCGTCATCTTGTTTTCTTCCTTGGAATCGTCTTTCCTTGGAACACCGAAAGATTGTTTGTTTGTTTTTATATTTTAAAATTATTTTTAAAATTTTTTTATTTTTTATTTTAAAATAATATTTTTTATATTTTAATATACTAATATTAAAAATTAATTTAAAAATAAAAAATATTATTTTAATATATTTTATAAAAAAAATTATTTTAAAAAACAAATATGAATACAATTCAAATACTCGACTTAGTTGGGCTCATTCTTACAGCTGGGATATCAACCTCCGTTTAAACTTTGTTTTATTATTATTTTTAAAAAATATTAAATTAATATTTTTTAAATAAAATACTCTTGAAAACAAAATTTATTCCGCTGCGGATAACACTACTTTCTAAATTCCTGAATCCGCTGTGCCCAGCGGGATTGGCCACTAAAAATAAGTTACAATCGAGTCACTTAAATTTCAAACCAATTTCGAAGCCCACATGGAAAGTTAGATGGGTTCGAAGGCGAGAGAGCCACCAAGAAGTGCCAGTGACCAAGTAATTAAAAAAAAACAAATTCCGAAATTCCTCTGTAATGACAGCCAAAAGAGGAAAATTGCCATCACCTCCCTATCTATGTCTCTCTCTCTCTGTACGTCTCCAAAGTATTCTAAAAACAGGCCACTAATGGTAAACACGGCCTCCTGTCCCCCCCCCCGCCCCCCCCCCCCCCCCCCCTCCCCCCCACTTATTTCTTTCGTTCAACCCACACAAACACCAGCATCCACAAAAAAGAAAATAGTGCTCGAGGATAATAATGCCAGCCCAAATCACCTCAAGGAACCACCCACCACCCTTGACGGTGGGTTACCACTTACCACTATTCCCCAATCAGATGCCGAGTGTGATGATGATCTCAACCATCCATGATCATCGTGATCATCACAGCCACCATCACATGGCGAAAGTCAGAAAGTGGACCTTTCTTTTGTCCCTAGACTAAGGGCGTGCACAACCCACATCCTACGGCGTACGTTAGCCCTTCCTTCCCACCCCCACTCACACACCTAAGCGGTGGCCTCATCCGCACACCCCTCCCCACCCCCCCACCCACCCTCCATACCTTATTCAATATGCCACCAAACCCCACTTTCCCCCTTCCACCACCACATCCACAACCACGCCCGCTTTTCTTTTCCTCTCTTATCCTCCCTCCCTTCCTCTTCCACCCCCAATACCCCCCTTAACCCTCGCCGCCTTTCCTTTCTTTCTTGTCCTTCATTACCACCACCATCACACCGCGATTTTCTCTTAGCTCCCCCAGATCTCTCCTTCGCTAACGTGCGCCAACTCCCATCTCTTCCTGGTCTTCCGCCACCACCACAAAAACCACAAGAAATTCCGCGTCTCCGCTTACTCTCGTACTCCCTCACGACTGTCCCACCGATTTCCCTTATCTTAACCTTCACCAGCACCCATGTCCACACCACCCAACACCGGATCGCCCTCACCCCCACAAGATCTAACCCCCCTTCAAATCACCGCACTACAAGCTCTCCCCGCTCCGCCAACGCAACCATCCACCAATCCTCGGCGTCTACCACCACCATGTTGGACCCCAGATGAAACAGTGGCCTTAATCGACGCTTACCGTGACAAATGGTACACGCTCCGCCGCGGTAATCTCAAAGCAAATCACTGGCAAGAAGTAGCTGATGCTGTAGCTCGCCGCTGTCCAGCTGCATCACCACCAAAAACCGCTGTGCAGTGCCGCCACAAGATGGAAAAGCTCCGGAAACGGTACCGAACCGAGATCCAGAGGGCCCGATCCATGCCGGTCTCGAGGTTTTCATCTTCTTGGGTCCATTTTAAGCGAATGGATGGGATGGAAAAGGGGCCTCAAGCTAAGGCTGATTATAATTCAGAGAGCGAAGGTGATGATAATGACGATGATAATGAGGATGATGGTGATATTCATGGATCTTATTTAGAAAATTATAGGACTACTGGTAATGTTATGAATACTCGAAGTATTCAAAAGCTTTATCGAAATGGGATTGGGAATCCAGGGAGTGGAAGTGGTAATAATGGATTGAGTGGTGGGAATTCTAGTTTGGGTTCGGGTAATGCTGGCGGGTTTCGAATTAGAATACCAACTGGAGTTAGTATAGCGCAGCCAGGACCTAAATTTTATGCAAAAGCAGAGCAGAAGTATGGTGGGGGTCCTAGTATTGGTGTTAATGCGAGCCCAAACCCGAACATGAAGCCTAATTATGGTGGGATAGGGAGTAGTAGTAGGGTTATGAGGGGGGGTGAGGAAATGGGGAAGAAAAGAGAGAGGGAGCCGATGGAGGAGTTGGTTGCGGCGATAAAGGTATTGGGAGATGGCTTTGTTAGAATGGAGCAAATGAAGATGGAAATGGCTAGAGAGATGGAGACAATGAGGATGGAAATGGAGATGAAGAGGACGGAGATGATTCTTGAGTCGCAGCAGAGGATTTTGGAGGCTTTTGCTAAAGCATTATCGGAGAAGAAGAAAAAGCCAAAGAGAATGCCCTCACCTGAGTCATAGCTGGGTGAGTGTGGCTGCCTTTTGTTTTTGTTGCTAGAGATTTGACCCTTCTTGGTAAGGGATTGAATGGTTCGGTCAGATTTGATATATCTTCGGATGAAAGTAAGTTAATTTCATGTTTAGATCAGTGTTTTGCTGCTTGTTTTGTGATTATTTCCTGAGAGTAAGTTAGGAAGATGTTGAACTTTGTTAGTGTTTTCAATTTACTTTTGGATGAATGTAGCTTCGATTTTTTAGATTAGATGCTTGTGTACAACTACTTCTCACGTGTTAACTTTAGTATTTTTGTGGAATATAAATGTAGTTGCTTCATAATTCTTCTAATTCCCTGTTTTGCTTGTGAATTGGATTGTAAAGATTCTTAGCTTGATGCTAGATATGGTTTTCTGATTGATTGATGTTCTAATGTGCTAAAAACAATGATTTACCAGACAGGGAATAAAATATCTGGACATTGTGTCAGTGTTTTCTTCTTGATAATAAAGGGGAAACATAACATAGAACGTAATTAATTAGGGGATGGCTACTTTTGTTTGTGTGATTAGTTTTTAGAGTTTTCGGGACAGTTTCCATTCTAAGCTTTCCGCTAGCAGAGACTTTGTACAGGCTTCATGTCCTGGAATTGCAGCATTGTGTTGAGGCCCTGGGTTCTTGCACTTCTAGTTTGATGAATGGAATTTACAAAGATTTCCCTGGACTTGTTTACATGGTTAAAGAGTGTGGCAAAACAGGGGTTTGCTTTTTCTTTGACTCCGGTGTCTCAGTTTCTCAGATAATTATCTTTATCTTATCTGCTAATGGCATCATGTCTTGAGACTTTCTTGCTGTGACATCACTCATAATTCCACCAACTGCATCAACTTTTCGTTTTTATTACTGTAATTGAATGACTTTCTGTCCTTGGATTCTAAGCAACTACTGTCGTGGTTATGGACCAAATAGCCTCTATTCGATACCGACCTAAATTTATCTGAACGGATATATATATATATATTGTATGTTCGGTAATATCTGAAGGGAAAAGGTCGAGCTCAGGTAAGGTATGAATATTGCTTGGCTCGACGTGAAACACTACCCAAATCCAACCTGAAGTATAGACATGACCTTAAAGTTTTAAAAAATTGCATTTGTACCCACTTATATGTTTAAAGAAAAAATAGGGTATCATTTACCCAATAAATACCTAAAACCTAATAGGTTGGGTTTGGTTCATGCCAAGTCAGGATTAGGTAAAACTGTGTTCAAAAAGATTTTAAAAAAAAATTGATTTTTTTTTTAATTAATGTATTTTTTATATTTTTAAATTATTTTGATGCACTAATTTTAAAAATAAATAAAAATATTATTAACATATTTTTCTAAATAAAAATATTTTAAAATATAATCATACAGGATATGAATATTAGAATACCTGACCTCCACAGCTATTGCCATCCCTCTTATCTGCGCTTCCTATATCTTTAACCATCCTTGCAAGTAGGGGTGAGCAAAAAAATCGAGAAATTGAATAAATCGAGAAAACTGAGAAAAAAATAACTAAAAAAACCGAACCGAAAAAAAACCCTGATTAAACCGATTAATTTTTTTGCAAACATTTCCGGTTCTGTTTGGTTTCGGTTTCAAAAACCTGAAACCGGAAAAACCCCAACCGAACCAAACCGGTTCGGTTTAAGGGGTACTATAAATACAAAAAAAAATTTGTTATTTTTCTTAACCCTAACATCCATTCTCCTGCTCCAGCCGTCCTTCTCCTTGCTCCTGTGCCACTCCCTCAACTCACAATTCACAATTCAAAATTTCACATCTGTAATGAAATCAATCCATCTTCATCTACTGGACCACAAGCAACCACATCCCTCTCCTAGCATCTTCATCTTCAAGCACTCAACCACATCCCTCTCCCACCATCTTTTTTAAATAAAAACCGAACCGAACCGAATTTCCTCACCCCTACTTGCAAGTTTAGCTCTCAAGAGATTAATATGGTGATACCAAATGAATCTATCATATCCATCCCAACATTTTCACATTGTAGTGGAAAGGGGGCATTTTTTTTTTTCCTTCGGTTGAATAAAAGAGTAATTTCTAAGGGACAACTTACTATTATTATAGGGGTTAGAAAAAAAATTGATTAAACAAAAAAACCAAAAACAAATTAAAAAAAAAAAGTCTGGTGCGGTCTCGTTTTAAGGCTTCTAAAACCAGTTAAACCAAACTAAATTTAACGGACTCAACCAAAAAATAAAAATTGTATCAACTTAACAAGAGTATAAATAAAAAATTATCTTTCAAAGACTTAAATTCTAAAATTCATTATTATAGTCGCACACCTCCTTCCCCTTCTGTACCTCTCTTTCAACCTCCTCCATGGCTCCACCAACAACCCACCCTTTAGATTTGCATCCTTTTGTTGAAACATGAAGTTTATATTGTTTATAATATGCAAAAGAGAACAGATTCGATGTTTAGATAGGTTTTACTTGCAACAAACTTTTGTGATTACAATTATATATGTTGTTCGGATGAGTTCATATCTTCCTCTACTCTCTTTTTTTTGTGATTACATTTATATATGTTGTTGAGTATCCATAATTATCTTATTTATTTTATAAATTTATTTTGGTTTTGCCCTTTATTCAATAAAAATCAATAGGATTTAGCCATAAAAGCCCAAAAAAACTGCAAATTTTTCTCAACAAAAAATTAAACTAAACCGAAATTAGTTAATTTGAGCTAATTTTTAATTAGGTCCGATTCTTATACATCCACACATTAATATTTAGTTTGGTAAAAAACTTAGTCTAAACAAAAATGTTCACCCTTGCTAAAAACTAAAAAAAAAACAAAGAAAGAAAGGGGAAGTGCATTACATACCAACTCATAATTTAGCCAAAAATGGCAAATTAAAAAGTTTCGAAGCAAAAGGAGAAGCTAAGAATTTTTTTTTAACTCTTAACACAGTAAATATTTTTTGAAAAATTAATACAGTATAAAAGATATTTAAAAGAATAATACAGTTTAAAGAGTCATAAATAACATTTGCAATTCGCGAGTTGCAAATGTCATTAGCAACTCTTTTAAATTATAAAATAGTCATTACAATTTACATTAAAGAAAGATAAGATAGGAGGGAGGGAGAAAGAAAGAAAAAAAGAAGATAAGATAGGAGGGAGGGAGAAAGAAAAAAAAAAAGATATTGGAGGCATACAAAAACATAATTGGTATTGTTAAAAGGATCTCGACGAGATGAATTTAAGAATACTAATAAAGGTTGCTAACAATTAACATAGTGGACCACACGAGTCACTTAAAGATGTTCTGACTCACTTGAATTTGGATGATTCGTGTAACTCACTAAAATCACTATTGTCGATCTTTTTTGATATCATTAAATTTATTTTATTGAGATATTTTTATGATATAGATGATGTCATCATCAGAGTTTCAATATACTCTAGATCTTCTTTCTTTTTTTCTCATCTCTCCTCATAACTTGTGAAGATAAAGGAGAGAGGGAAAAGTAAGAAAAAAAGAGATCCCGGGAAAAACTGAAGCTTTAATAATGACATTACCAATATTATTAAAATTTTTTTTAATAAAATGAATCCAATAATAATATAAAAGGTCACTAACAATTATCATAGTAAGTCATACAAGCTATCCAAAAATAAATAAGCCTGATCATCTTTGTAGAACTTGTATGATTTATTTCATTTACTATTAATAACCTTTCTTGGTATTATCGAATTCATCTTATTAAAATTTTTCAAACAATACTAATAATATTTTAATTAAAGTTTTGATTTATCTCGAGAATCTTTTTTTTTTGTTATTCTTTTTTTTTTTTTGTAAATCATGCTAGATATTTTATAATTTAAAAGAGTTACTGAAAACACTTACAATTCTTTAAAATATTTTTTTACGTTGTGTTAGTTTCTTAAATTTTTTTTACTATATTAGAGTGAAAAACAAACACTCGGAAGCCGATGCTTTCATGTCTCTATCTGCACAAAAAACGTCCAGAGATCACGTGAGAAATGGGATTTAGAGCTCCCATATACAGCTCTGCTATTAAAACTGATCCATACAGTAGGCAAATGCCAGAGAGATTTTGCTATGATTAGTTGAATAGCAGGCGACATGCCGTTGGTTATCGTAACTCTAGGGAAAAACGAAAAGAAAAGAAAGGATCATCCATTGGATTTGAACCCGACGTGAATAGAACATGCAACCTTCTGAACCGGAGATAGACGCGCTACCATTGCGCCATGGAACCTTGTTTAAGCTGAAGTCCTTGTAGATATAATTTACTAGAATGTTTTTCCACGGTCTATAAGAACATGAATTTGGCTTGGTTGCCATCGAAGCCATACTTAGCGTATAAACTTTGAGCCCTCGTGTCAGAATCATGAGTTGAGAATTATCAAGAGGATAGGCCCAAGTTTGAATTGGAAGATGACACTCTATCCAGGAAGGAAGTGTGTGTGCAGCTATAAAACAGCATCTCAAAATGAAACCACATGAATCTGTCCTGAAGATGCAGAATAAGCAGCAAACACCTCAGTCATTTAAACAAGCTAAAGTTAACCACCAACAGCTGAGCCAAGGAAAGATTAAAGCATTCTCCATCTCTCTGTGGCTTAAGTTTCAAAATGGGGATGACAGACAATTGTTTTGCAGCACTGTTGAATATAGATTTTCAATGATTTATTACCCGTAATTTCTCTTGTTCTCTTCTTTTTCCTATCTACAAAATGTACAGGATGTAAATTTATATGACACAGAGATTCACTACAGATAGGAGCTAACAAAAGTTTGGGTTCAAATCACCCCGTTGGTCCATATGAGCTGACAATAAACATCAAAAAACTAAGACCCACTTGATCTGGTGTCTCAATTTGTGTAAAGCTTTTGGTTTCCGACACTTCTCTTGATTCTTCGGACATGTAACGGAACAGGATTTTCCAAGACAGCAACATTAATATTACCCCACACCTCTGGTTTGGTTGGAAGCTGTGCAATTCTCTCTACAATTTCCATATCTTCAGGAAGAACGAAACCAAACACCGTATATGCCTTATTCCACTCATTGTGATTGGCTAGGCTGATGAAGAATTCTGGGCCAGACTCAACCCATGCCACCGAACCTCTTCTAATTGTAGGGCAAGCCTCTGTTGGAATATCCATTGTTCCAGAGGCTCCAAGAGTTCCTTGAATTAGTGCAAACGGGGGGCCATATGGAGCCTGCACAGCTCAAGTGAGAAAGTTTTTAGTCAAAAATTTCAATATCCGGAAAAACAGATTGTCTTGCATTTTATGTTATATGTTTTTTTGTTGGGTTGTGAGAAGAGCACTCAAAAGCAATTTGTGTCAAGATCAGTCCTTTTCCGAGCATCTTTTCTGAAGGCGGTAGTACCAATCAACGGAAATCCCAAATCAAACATGTAACTTTATCAATTGGCAGGCACTTCAAGGAGCCTGCTTAAAAATTGGTAACTCGGGCATCTTACCTGTTCAATATGATTTCCTTCTGAATCCCACGACTTTCCCCGGCTTTCAGCACGGTAAAAGTGGCAACCCACACAATGGTGCGAAACCAACAAATCAAGAATGTATGGAATAGAATGTGGAGCACAACCAGGTAACAGCTGCACATAGCATCACAATAAAGCTGGACTGAAGCTAATACTTGATTAAATATTCAACAAAAAAGAAAATGCCATTCAGTAGACTTGATGATTTCCTGTGTTCAAGACTTGTACAGAGATGCCAACAAAAACCAAAAGAAAACATGGAGAATTTATTAAATAAATAATAGGTGATATTTATTCTCTTCATCGTGTCTCTCCCACTGCCAGGCATTTAGATGGAGGCTATGGAGACACAAGTTTGAGATAAGCATGCCCAGTGTAATTATGTGAGGTCAGATATCCAGTATTTCTCAGACTGATAATATATTACCATGCGTTCTAATTGAACATCAACAGCAATAGATAGCATGCACTACACAGACATCCAATCAGTTGCCTCTAATCCTGTGGGTGTACACATTGTTAATGCTTTCAAGGACGGTTATCAGCTGGAATTTATGAGATAAAGAGACGACAGGATAACTGGTGTACAATTTCCTAGGTTGATACACTGTCATGGTTCCGACTTGTTATGATAAACTGTGAAGGTTTCTGTCTGGTTTACAAACTATTGAAACAAATCTTGCAAGGGGTTGATCGCATAATTTAGTAAAAAATACAGAAGCATTTTTTTAATGTCTGAACCATCCAAAAGATCATGCAGGTTGGAATAATAAGCGTATGTTATGAAGTATGAAGAATATTGTCTGGGCACTCATTCCTAGGAGTAACATATAAGCAAAAGTCAGGTATCCAAGAACGCAATGAACACTTACTTTTAGATGAAGTGTCCCATATTCCGTTTCCAATCCAATGATGCCCTAATGAGGAAAGGGGAAAATGAAAGATGATCAACAAATCAGCAACTGAGAATTTGAGGAAAACAGCAAACCAGAAAGTAGATATCTCAATTCTCACTGCTATGGAAACTAGAAACATGACCTCACAAATGTGTCAGAAGTTCAATCGTGTGTTAGTGATGAGAATATGTAGGTCCTCCATGTAACCAACTGATAATTATAATGGTAGATTATTATCTAAGGAAACAAACATGTAACATAATCCAACTCTCTTACAGTAATTAAAATAAATCAAAAGGAAGAATTGAATGTTAAAATACTTTTTGAAAATCATGTAGCAGTTTCCATTGAAGTCCAGCTACTATCATATCTGAGAATCTTAACCATCATTGTTTTCCACTTTTTTTTAACACCTTGTCTACGTAGCAGTAACCAAAAGCTGTTGCCTTCGGCAAACTGTGAAAATGCACACACATGAAATATGTGCTGCTGTGCTCGATGAGAAACTAGGAAAGCACTGAAACATCCATAAGACCTTCATTGGGTAACGTACCTCTCCTCTCCCAAAAACAATTCCAGAAGTCCACATAACATGGTCCCCTGAGTCTAGCCGATCAGGCTCCAAGGTGTCCTTCTGTTTCTTCAGCCAACACTAAAATCAAGAAAAGGAAAACATGCCTCAGAATCATACAAGCACATGACTACAAATACATGATACCAACAATATGAGTTATAGCCCATTGTCATTGATAGTTCTAGACCACTAACTTTCTTCTGCAAGGCTGCAAATGTCTGTTCATTTAAAATAGCTGAAGACTGACAGGCACACTCACAACTTCCCATGAAATTCTTGCAAGACAAAATGCCTAGAACAATAGGCGATGTCTGCTAGCGTTTACACCACTTTGGAGTTTTGATTAATCAAAACACCACAACGTTCTAATTGCAAAAATGAAAGACAAATCAACAACGAATTATCTAAAATTATCATAACTTAAAATTCAAAATGAATATCAAGAGACCATACCTCGCCAAATTTATCACCACAAGCCTGTTTATCTCCACAAAACACCCAAGAATCACACAAACAAGGCCCACTGTCACCACTACACATTCCTTTACAAGCCAAGCAACAAGCTTTAGAAGAATTGACTTTAAATTCAGAACCCCATTTGACAGCATCACCCCAGAGCTCCAAATGCTCAATCCCTCTACAACAATCCCCATCTGCATCTTTACTCTTCAAACCATTACTAACTTTTGAAAACACAAACTCTCTATTACTATTAGCTGGTCTAAACAATGCAGAGAAACAAAGGTAGACCATGCAACAGGAGATTGTACCCATAACGAAAAGAGCCAGAAGTCCATAACGACCGAGTTCTGGAGCGGTTTGCTTGCGACCCATTTGGATTTCAAACAGAATCAGATGGGTATTTGATTAAATCTTGATTCTTGTTTAGTTTCTTGATTGATTTGTCAAGAATAATACTGTTGCTACTGCAGAACTATTCTCCAGGAAGCAAACTGACTCTGCTACTTCAGTGGAGCCATTCAGCTGCAGACCTAGTCTTTAGGAGCATATCAGTTTGTTGTACATGGTATGGCAATCCCTATTTCTTAGTTTCAGTTGCTTAGTTTCAGAGGTTGTACTGTCTATTAATGGACAGAAATCATTTGAATAAAGTCAGGAGATTTTCTGAATAATCCTAATCTGTTATTTCTTCCACATGATTGAGAGTGAAAGCGGAGGGCTCTGTTTTTTTGGTTGTCATGAGATTGTCAGAAGGATTTACCGGACAATTGCTTGCCTTCTTGGCCAGAAAATCACCGTGTACGATTCATAAGGCAAGAAAATCTCTAAAAAACTCTCCAGTTTGCAGCTCGTTACCGATACAATTTTTTTTTTATAAAGTTTAATTTCAAATCTCAGGTTCATGAAATATCGTACTATAATCCAGAATATATTAAAATTTAATTAATTAATTACTTGAAATTGACACAGAAAAAACTAAAAAATAATAGAAAAGGTATTTTTTGGTAAAATAAATACAATAAGACTTAAAAGAATTAGTTTCTTAAAAAATCCCAAATCCAACTTTAATTTTCATTAATTTTTTAACTTTAATTTGTTCATTCTTATTTTTAAATGATATTAATTATATATTAAAAAAAAAACCTAATAGTCCTTTGTTTTTCACAGAAGACTACGAGGGGAAGCACTTTTCAATCGAAATTGGCAGTTTTTTATAATTCCTGAAATTTTTTACACTTTGGCCCCTTAATTTCTTTGTCTTTTGATTTGATCCTTCAAAATTGCTTTGATTCATGCATGCATGTAGAGATCTTTTATGTCACTCGGTTAATTCTTGATTTTACAAAACAAAATTCAATTTAATTGATTTACAATAATTAAAGATTCACGGACTAAATCCAAAACTCAAGGAATTGTTCAATCCCTTTTTTTTTTTTTTTTGCCAAAATCATGGCTGATTTGCACGGTCAAATGAAAGTTCATGTACTATTTTTTTTAATTTCAATCCCTTCACTTTTTTTTTCAAGTTGATTTTTTTAAGTTGGTTTTATTTGAAATTTGACTTGATAATTTATTTTGATTGTTTTGATATGAAAATCTCGTAATATTAATGGAAATTTATGGTGTTTGGTTGATGCTTAATTTTATAAATAAAAATAAAATTTTGGCTAATTTAAAATAATTAAGTGTTAAAGAACTAAAATTAAAACCAAAATAAATATAAAGATTGGAGTAAAGGTGTAGAGAAAATAGACTAGCTTCTATAACTCACCTACAAGCAAGAGGTTTTTGCTATCTTCAGGAGACGAGCGAGGTGTCTCCCAGCAATCAAACAATAGCTTCCACGAAGATGTTAAAAGTGTCACGTTATGCTCTTTTCATTGGTATGAAATGTGACAGTTTGGTTCTACCAAATATTTTTTCTTTCTTTTTTTTTTCTCTCACTCCTCTCATTTGAAATCTTGCTGGCTTGAAAAATTTAAAAGGTATCATATCATTTGTTCATTATTTCAAATTTGATCTTACTCTTTTTTTTGCTTTTTATTTTGTTTGGATCCTTTTTTATTATTATTTTATTTTATTTTCATCCATTAGCATTTGATTTTATTTGATTTTTTTTTATCAAATTTGATTATCATTCTTTTAATTGTTATTTTTTTATTATTTTTCTTAATTGAATTTTTTTTTCAATTTTATCTCTTGGCATTTTATTTTCATTTTATTTGTATATCAAATTTATCCCTATTTTTTTAATTGTATTGTTTTTTAGATTTATGTTCTTTTTTAAATTTAATTTAATTTTTTAATTTTATCATTAAACATTGAGTTAGTTGAGAATTGAACTTTATAATTTTTTCAGCATGGTGATCTTAATTTCATAACTTGGATCACGAATATGAAATATTAAGCAAAATTGGCATTGATTTTTTTAAAAAAAAAACTTTTTTTACACTAGTGATGTTTTTTTTTTTACACTAGTAATGTTTTTCAATTTAAACATTGAATTTTTTACACTAGTGATATTTTTTACATATAATCTTTTCACTTTTCTTTATATAAAATTATCCTAATTTTATAATCTATGTCATGTGTCCCGTGGATTTGCCTAAGTTAGCTTAGATTTTTTTTATTTTTTATTTTTTCAACATGGAATATTTTTTCAACTCCACCCTTCAATGTTTTATTATTTTTAGAATTGAGCTTAATATTTTTTTATTATTTATATTTTATCAAATTATCTCATTTATAAAATCCGACTCCAAGGTTTGACAACCTTACAAGGGTTTGTTTGTGTTTTATTTTTTGGTGGTTCTTTTAATTAACTAATTATTTTATATTTTATCCTTTTATATTTTGATTGTTAATAATTGGATATTATTATTATTTTTATTTATTTTCTATGAGGTTAGTCCAACCTCACGACCTAAGTTTCTAGTTTTTCATGTTAACTCATGTTTTTTTTTTGTTATCTTTTATTTTTTATTATCTTTTTGTTGTTTTGGAATTAAGCTTTGTATTTTTTTTTAGCAAGCATTTTTTTGTTACATGTCATCATTTTCACCTTTTTTTTTTAAATTTGATCCATTTTTTTTATTATATAATTAAATAAGACTATGTTTTTTAATACAATAGTATAGTTGTAGATTTTTTTTTTCTTCTTTAAATACAATACTGGACATTTGTTTTTATGTCGAAGAAAAAATCAGTCCTGCTCAGTGCTCAGTGCTCAGGTCAAAGAGCGACCTCTATCTAGTTTACTTCCAAATCTACACACTATTAATAACATAAATAGAGAAAATTAAAACTAAAATAGCTGTTACAGGGGTCATTTCAAACTTGCCAAACTTTTAAGATAAAGTGTGCATGTGTGTTTTGTAAAATTATGTTTAGAACTTTTTTAAAAAATATTAAATTAATGTCTTTTTCGTGTTCATCATCAATATTTCAAAATTATCCAAATAAACACTTACAAAAGATGTTTTTACAGTATAAATGCATCCCTAACAATATAGATATAAATACCAAATACCGCTAAAATCATAACAAACCTCAAGAAGAAGGGCAAACTAAAATTTACCCTTAATAATTTAATTTTACTTATTAAGAATAGAGTTAAAAGGTAAGAGGAAAACATTATTTTTTTACACTTATTAGCAATGTGAATTACAATAATAATTTATCACCTTTTTTTTCTTTTCATTTTAACCCTTTTTTTTGTTTAGTTATTGATTTTATATTTTAATTTAGCCCTTATATGATATATTTATGGAGATTTAGAATTGATAATTTATTTTTTATATAGTTATCGCATTATCAAAAAACAATTCTCAACATCATGTTGCTATCAGAAAAATATCTCGGCATCACGGTATAATTTATTTTTTAAAAGGTTTAGTAAAATAAAAAATAATTTAAAAAAACTAGGTTATTAAATTTTGTAGAGTCAATGACCCAATTTGCGTGTTTAGTGAGGTAACCTTGGTTGCCCAAATTCACTAGTTTAGAATGACTTTTTTTTTCAATTGAACTCAATCATATATTTTTCTCTTTATCATATAATTAAAAAATAGTTTTGAAAAAATAATGTTATTAAATTTTAGAAAGTCCATAAATGTATAGACGAGTTTAGCTTTCTTAAAAAAAATATTTTTTTTATTTCATTCTTCAATATTGGGTTGATTAAGAATTGATTTTCATAATTTATTTCATTTTACTTTATTTAAGGTTATTATAGTCTTAAACAAAAAGTCTCAATCTTGTATTGTTTGATGCGTGATTTTGTGATTGTCTATTTTTGTTATTATATAGTCAGATAAACAATAGTTTTTAAAAAAAAATTATTGAACTCAATGGAGTCTATTACCCAATTTGTAGGTTTAACATGTTAGGTTGTTTACTCGATTCATGGGTTTACTCATCAAACGTGATGTTTTTTCTTAACCTTTAATTTTTCAAAATGTTATTTTATTTCACTCTTCTTCAATATTAAATTGGTTGGAAAATAAAATTTATGGTTTATTTTTTTCTACTTTCTATAGAGTTATCATGATATCAAATAAATATTGTTTTTAGAATTGATGCTCGATTTTACAAACATCTAATTTTATTATAAAATTAAATAAAGATAATTTACAAAAATAATAGAATTATTAAACTTATTGAAGTCCATGATTCAAGTCACAAGATGACCAAGGTCGATCCAATTTTATAGTCTCAATAATAAATAAAAAATTTATCGACTTCAATTTTTTTTTTAAATATTATATTTGTACTTGTTATCCAAGTTATTTTTGGAATCTTTAAATTAAATAATTTATTTTCAATCAAATTTTACACTGTTTAATTCAAAAAAAACTTAAGTTAGATAAATTGTCATATTAATAAATTTTAAGATTAAATTGCTCAATTGAATTTAATATGCTACCTAAAAATACTTCATGCCATTAATAATTTCTGACCTACAGCACATCACAGTGAAAGTACTAGTGGATTACTACATGGTGGTTGGGTTAGTACTTGCTTTTAGAAACTACCTTGTCTGTTCCCAAACGATCATGTAATGAAAGCTTTTCAACCTATATCAAAGCTTTGTCGTATTTCATTGTCATGTCATTCACAAGCAAAGAATCGTTATTGTCGCAAAGCATACATCGGCTGAGGCCTGGAAAACGAGACGACAGAGGTTGGATGGACGGCCTATTATAAAGTATGGGGAGTACTATCAAGCCTTTTTTTCTCTTTTTTGTACTTTTTTATGGCGTGAAACTAAGGAAACCTAAATTCGAGCAAAAGCCAATATTCTGTCAGCTGGCATTGCCCACTTTCAATCCAAATTAAAATGTTCGGCGGCACAATCATTCTCTCTCAAGCACTGTTTGAGCCGCCAAACATGTTTCGAAGCATTGTTTCCCTTTTTGAGATCAATAAAAGCATAGCAATCACCTGAGGAAAACTATCATTACAAGGACAAAAAAAATAAAATATATATATAAAAGTTCGAGAGGTTGCTGCAATCTTTCATTCTCTATGACACATACCTCAGGTTTTATCCCCCACAAGAAAGAGAAACAATACAAGCATCAAACATGAATCATTCAATTTACAGTGGAACCCAAAAACCTGTCTGCTTGCGAAAACGTTTACATTTGATTCATCAAGAAGATGACAACAT